GAAGCTGACACTGTCCACAGACTCCATGACTTCACAGGGTTCAATAGAAAACAAATGTCTTATCATAAATACTAAATCATTATTTTTCAATTGTCATGTTCACCTCATCACTGTTGACATCAGTAAATATAAGACACAGACATTCCTCTTTGTCAGAACAGTAACATGAACTGTATGCTTTGTAATATTGATTTCTTCTGGATGTCTCATTTATTTACAGTTTATGGATAAAACTTTGTTAATGTATTGCTCTGCTAACACTGACAAAGTCTAACTGCTCTGACAAATAACTAATAACCATAGTTGTATATTTAAAAAAGTGTAGTTTTAAGACTTTAATTAAATATTTGAGTTGAATATAATTAGTTGTAACTGTGTTGTAGAAAAGTTAAATGTTAACTTCCTGTTTATAGAGTTTTCTCAGGATGAGCAGGAATAGTTGATGATAGCAGCCTAGCTGTTAGCTATGCTGTGAAGTGGACTGCTAACGTCGAGCTGAATGGGCGGAGTTAAGTCCCGCCGGTCCCGCCTTACTGCTGTGGTTAGGTTGATCCGAAGTTAGGTTGAGACTGCAAATCCAATATGGATGCGGCCGTCGATTGGACTCATTTTCTGCCTATGTCACAGACGAGTCAGGGTTCGTCCAGTAATATTTACAGTCTATGGTAATTACTCTTACCTGACAGGAAGGAGGTTTGGAATACACTGAAAAGCTTCTCTTTTGTCCGCGATGGATGTTGACATTGAGTAAATTATCGCCCCCTGCTGGTATGGCACAGATCACAGGCGTGAACATTTGACGCTGAAGACAGGCAATGCGTGACACTGACACGCATCCTCTAGTGGACCAACGTGTCTATTACACGTATGTTAACTCTCGCAGCTGCAGAAAAGTTTTCTCTGGTGCTACTTATTTCCGTTCTTTTCCCCTCGGCTCACTTCCTCTCCCCCTGCGCCACATCCTGCCTTTATAACCTCGGTGATTGATCCTCACCCATACATTTTGTGCATCAATGGAATATTTGATGCCATAAATGATACAAATGTTTCAATACTTTAGACCAACACATTTTTTCTTTCTTTGAAACACCTTAATTCATCTTTTGTTTTTCAGACACTTAAACATTTTGTGGCACTGTCATGAACTCCCGGATCGTTAGTGTTTTGTGGTGTAACGCTTCCATGTTTTATGTCAGGGAGGAAGTCACACAGGAGCAGTTACACCCTGATTGACCTCATACATATTATAACCTACAACAAACAACCACTGTCATATGATCCGACTACAGCCTCACCATCTTTCAAACACTGCAGAGCAACATCTCCTGTCCATTAGGCTACTCCCTGGACTACAGCCCATCTGTTTGGAGGTGAGTCTGCTTTAAACACGCAGGTGTAAGAGGGTCATTTATTTATAATTCATGAATTTAAAGGGGAATCTACAGGAGTGACTAATAAAGTCAATCAAAGAGCTCTAAATGAAAGAAGTGACAGTTCATTTTTAAATCAATTGTCTCAGGCAACCGATATGATCAGTCATTCGACCTGTTTTTAACTTTGAAATGATGATTAATCCTCATGAGGCTACAAGGTTATATTTCTGCTCAAACTGAGCATTAAGGAAGTCAAACCTCTGCCTGCACTGTTTTTAAAGGTAAAGAAAGCGTCCAATAACAGTGAAAAACACATGGAAGCATATTGCATTAACATGAGAAAATACAAATCTGCTCTGTTTTAAAAGTCAGGTGAATGCAGATACTGTAGCTACTTGGATTTGTTTTTTCAGTTTCATTTATCTAAATGTAAACTTGCTCCACTTCTTAGAGCAGGGATGTCAAACAAACGAACTGCGGGCCGTATCCGTATAAATTCAATATTTGTAATACTTATTTTCCCCGAATTTTATTAAAAACCTTTGTATAATGAGCAACGTAAAGGTTGATGTCATGATACGAAAATGAATTAAACGGGGCACTTTGAACTATCTTCTCAGCAGGGAGTATCATCAAAAAGACGAGTGGCCGAGCGCACGAGCTGCTCCTGCATTACGCTGGTAATACATCACATCAGCAAACAGGCTGAACACCTGAGAGAGGTGACACAGAATGCAGGTTTTCAAGAGAGATCGAAGGAGCGATATTTCTTTAGTTTTATTTGCTCACAAGTTGCCAGAATCGTATCAAAGCTACGGGACTTAACCGCTGCACTGCGCGCGCATCATGACGGTCTTCAGTTCTGTGCACACTTCTTACCAGCTTCTCCTGTCTTGACTGATGTAAAACAAAATGTTGACTAATAATAACAAAGCTTCCTATGGAGTGAGCTACAAAGAGCAGCTCGTGTAAATAAAAAGCAATCCTCCATGCGTAACGGCCCAGACCGTCTCCTCACATCCAGACTAAGTGTAGGTTGTGGACACCGGCGTTGAGACTGATGCATCTCCCGACTTATTTTACCTCTGGTTATTAAACAGTAAATTAAAATGAATATTAACTGATTTTAATTACAGATGGTTCATTTTTAGGTCACCCAGATGTGAAAGTGTTGTGTTGATCATCTAAAAGTTTCATCACTTCTAAATGCAGTAGCCTGCTGTTGCGCCTTTATCACCAGCTCTCATCAGACTGTAAAAATATAACTATTACTGAACATTTCATTCTTATCCAAATACGATATCACGCACAGGCTGCCCGATCATACAGAGGTCCGCTGGTTTAACCGAGGAGCAGCGCTAAAATGCTTCCTCGAATTACGCACGGAGATGGCACAGATTCATGACGCATAAAAAGTCAGTGACAGAGTTAGATCACGATAGTACGGACACGGAGAAGAACGGACAGCCAGACTGATATCAAAAGTCTTTTAACTGAGTTTACTTAGTTGAAGAACGTGCACTCCACACGGAGCTGATCAGACTGCAGTGCGCAACGCTGAAGGATCAATTTAAGTCTGTTGGTTTGGAAACATGTTATCATTTTATAATGCCTCACACTAAAATACCTGAAGATGACTGTTTGCATCAAAGACACTCTGTGTGTTTGTGATAACTTATTCATGTGAGCAGGTTTTATCTGTAATGAACCTTAAGGAGTGCAAACTGTGCTGTGGCCTGACACACACACATCTAAAGTCTCTCTCTCTCTCTCTCTCTCTCTCTCTCTCTCTCTCTCTCTCTCTGTCTCTCTCTCTCTCTGTCTCTCTGTCTCTCTCTCTCTCTCTCTCTCTCTGTCTCTCTCTCTGTCTTTCTCTAGTAATGCACTGATACCAGGGCAGGTAGAATAACCTGAGAAAGTGAAAGAGAAAAGTGTAAACCCATTATTTGAGTTGTGCTGCACCCAGCATCAGTGGCTACAAGCCTGCAACCAATCATCATTATGATGTGAGCTCTGAATCAACAAATAAACATCAAGCTCCAAAACAACAAAAGCCTAAACATGCAATTCTAAAAAACAAATGTAACAGGAAATGTATGTGCCTCCTGGAAATGTTGCTAGACTGTTAGTGATGCACACGAAGATTATAATTACAGATTCTCCCTGGATCCGCACCGAGAACTGTCCTTATCAGGTTTCTTTTTTATCTTAGCATAGCCACAGTGAGTGCGTCATAACTTTGTAACTGAATGTCTATATAGTGTGGAGTTGGACTGCCCTTCTCTGGGCTTTGCTGCAGACTTATCTTTCAATCTGTACATTTGCTCTTCCTATTTGCAAAAGGAATAATAAAATGGCAACAAACACAACTGAATGACTCAAAGATCTTTTATTAAACAATCTCTCATTACAGAAATTTCCAGCACACATATCAATTCATAATCTCCAGTTCAGGGGACACTTAAGGGCCCAAAAAATAAATGATGATCCAAACGCAAAATCAGAAACATTCCAGGAGATGTAAAGTCATTTAATTGGGATAAAAGGAAGGCTAGATATATGTCTATAGTTAGCTAATGTTATTGAATCAAGAGCAGGCTTTTTAAGAAGAGGTTTAATTACAGATGTTTCAAATGACTGTGGTGCAGTCATCTGCATAACTTCAACTACTCATACAAGAACACCTGAACAATGAACAAGCACCGCTCTGAACAGTCTCACCTTTCACTACAGTTAAACGAACCAGCGCCCAAGTATATTTATGGACATCCAAGTACATTTCCAACCTGTTTTTATTTAAATGTATTTGCTGCACGCACAAGAGAGAGAGAGAGAGAGACAAAACGGGAGAGAGAGCGCAAAAGAGAGTGCATCAGTACAACATAACAAAACTCCTGTTTGAAAAAGAAATCCCTCTCGACTCCTGAGGAGAGAAAAGACACAGGAATATCAAGAAAGCAGTATCACATCAACTTCAGAGAGAGAGAGAGAGAGAGAGAGAGAGAGGGAGAGAGAGAGAGAGAGAGAGAGAGAGAGATGAGTATGGAGTTAGATCAGTCTCAATATTCATGATTGCATACATAAAGATTCACAAATGTATTTCAATGCACACACAAAATATTTATAGTTCTATATAAATGTAAAACAAATCCACAAATACAAAAAAGTAAGATTCACAAACATATTTCACACACAAATATTATTGTTATATATATATATGTAATAGAAATCCATAATTATATGATATACATATATATATATTTATAATTAAAGGTATTTGCAATTTTAATCAAAAACACATTTGTATCATGATTTGTTCTGTTTAGTTTAGTTTTTCACAGTTCAGATGGTTTTTATCTTTTAGGTCTCATTCTTCCCTGGTGTTTCCCTCTATGTTCTAGTGTTTCTTAATTTTTCATTCTACAGTGTCTTCAGTGTTTCATGTATTTATTTTGTAGTTGTCCTCAGTGTTTCTTGTCTTGTGTTCATTCCTTCCTCTGTGTGTTTCCCTCCAGTGTGATTGCCCTCATTGTCTTCACCTGTGTCATTAGTCTCACCTGTGTTTGATTACCACTGTGTCTATTTAGTCTCTGTGTTTCTTCCCTTCCATGTCAGTTCATTGATTCATGGTAGTTATCAGTCTACTAGTGTCTCCTTGTAGTTTTGTTTTGGATTTTGCTAGCAAGTTTTTGTTTTCCTTTTTTGATTATTAAATACTTTTAGTTTATTCTACACTTGGGTCCACCTCTCCTTGTTTTCCAACCATTCATGACAATTTGTATCTTGTTGTCAGAGCATCTAGGAGGGATGTTACAGCAACTACAACAACTACCAATCTAGTTGAAGGCTCTTTCCTCTTGGATGGAGTTTGTTCTTTTTTCACATTCAGTGAGTCCAGTTTGTAAAATTCAGTTGAAACTCAGCGTAGCAACCTGGGCGAGAACAATGCTAACCTTTCTAGAGAACAAAAAAACCTGTAAAACTGGTTTGATTCAGGATACCGCCTGCAGGGTTTGAGAATATATAAAGCTTATGTTCCTATCAGTAACTGTATCTTCCTGTTCCTGTATCTTCGGCAACATTCATGGCAGTGAAACCCTCCCTCTGAAAACCCAATGACTTTTTGTGTCGTCTTGATGCTTCTTGTTAGGACAGGTTGTCTGTATGTTAGTGAAGGATTCTATCATTGTACTAAAACTCACAGAGATGAACTTCTTTTTATCATTTGATCACCATCACATTAAGATTTCACCACTGTGTTCTCTCCATATTGATCTCTACTGAGGTAAGACATGATGTTCTTTATTCAGTAACATTGAAGTTATCCTGTGTGTTTCAACGATACAACTTCCCCTATCTAAAGATAACTTTCTTATCCTAGCTGTCTCTTACTCTCTCCTGTAAATAAACAGTTCCACAGCGCCCCTACAGGCCTGGAGCACTTCCGTTTAAGGCTGAACTTAGAGCGTTTCTGTGTTTGCAGCATGATTATGCAGTTGTTTTTGCCTATTTGCAGCGCATTTGTGTCTTTGCAGCGCGTTTCAGCCTTTGCATTTGTAGTTTGCATTTGCTTTTGAATGTGCAGCTTTCTGTAGACGCTGCACGTTTTTATAAATGTATGTCGTTTCATCAGTTGCTGATTGTTTGACCCCTACCGCCACCGTACACATGTGAGTCACAGAGTTGATCAGGTTAATTAAATATATAATATCTAAAATTACACATCATGATTTTTAGAATAATTGATTTTTTTAATCAACAACAGTAACAAGTGAAACTGAAGAAAAAACATTGAGGAATAAATGGAACAGAATTAGAATCTGAAATGTAATTGTGTTAAAGTATAAAGTAACAAAATAGTACCAATTAAAAAGTTAATTTAAAAATAATCTTTAGTTAGGCTAAATGTATGTTTCCTTCATGCAAGCATTACTGTGTGCCTGAAGGGAAACTAACCTACTTACATGCAACCTATTTTCCACAAATTACTTCACTACTTCATGAGCTCAGATTTCCTGATCATGTAACATTAGCACACCTGACTGTGACAATTTGACGCTTGGGTGAACTAGGGCTGTCAGCAGAAGTGAATTGTTTTAGATTAATTGAGGTCCAAATTAATGCAATCTTGTCATTTGAATCGCCATTAATCTCATGATATTTTGTCCCTTTGGTCACACTGTGGATAAGCCTCCGTCGCGTCTCTCTGTAGGCACACAGATGGAAAGAAACAACACAGCTGCGTCTTTGAATGTCTCATTTCAATTGTAGACAGCTCAGTTTAAAAGTCAAATGTAATATCCACCGTTTGACATCAACATTTCACTATTCTTGCTGTTCATTTTAGCTGTTATATTTGGTTTTTGACCTGTAACGAGTTGGCTTTTTCTGATCCACAAGGTGATCCTTACTTTATACCAAAATAAAAGCAGGTCGAATTCAAACAGCAAGTACTCTCAACTTAAGACAGTACAAACATTTAAAATAAATAAAACTTCTGTTAATAATCTGTGACTAACTTCAGTGTCTTCAAGAAGGATTCATGATAAACTTAACAGAGTCTGTTTCCCCTTTTGTTGTTTCATCCAGTACCAGAGGAGGACTCACCATGTGCCTAAAAGGATTTGAGTAACCATGTCAACATGACACTTCTGAAGACCTGTGTCATCCTTCTCCTTCTGACTGTGTTGTTCTTTGTACTAAGAAACATGGACCTGCTGCAGGTGAGAACTGGGATTAGTGGCAACACTTTGAAGATGGCTGATGATTACAGGGGATTATTTTCACAGTGTCTTTCAATGTACTCTTCACAACATTCATGGTTTTTATTTGCAAAAAAACACAATTTCAAGGTTATGTTGCTTAAAACATTTTGCTCAGTGATTCTCTGAATCACTGGAGGGTGGGGTAATGGGGTGAAAAGCTGTGAATGCATTAATGACATACACACATACTTGATGCCATCCCTGCATAATTTGCACCTTGGGCCACCTGTCACAAAAAGTCTGAACACGACCTTGCTTACAAAAGACATCAACTTCAAGAAACGGAAAAAAGAATCACAGATTTTTACTTTATTGAGCAGTTAAAAGGTCAAAAGTAAGGTCAGTTATAAAAGGTCTATAATGCTCTGTAGAACAAAAAAGCAAACATTAGTCACCCCTGTCCACTTTTTGGACCCATTTTAAACCCACTATAATAATTATTTTTGAAACTTATGGCCATAGTAGCATAGAAACGTAAGTTTTTTTGTTATAGGCAATCAATCTGTAGACCATACTTCAAATTTGTAGATTTTACAATTTTTTTTTTATCACATTTTTCAATTTTTAGCCCAACAGCACAAATACATGCATTTTTTCTAGTAACCACAAGAACAGTGTTGAAGCTCATACGGCCCCATTATCTTGTTCAAAGTTATCCTATATTAT